AGTGAGTGCAAAGAAATGAAAGTCAATAAAGTTGTAGATTATCTTTGGCCCCAAAAATAAAACTGGATTCTCTCACAAAAAACTCAAATCTGTAGAATTAGTACTGCCCTCAACGTTTTTTTTTTTTTTTTTGGTGATTGGAAAGGGGAACTTGATTTGATTACCAAAGGACGCTTTTTTTTGGACAGTGAGTATCCTTATTAGATTAAAGTACATGAAAAACCTGTTTCAGAATTACCTGGTTTAGGGATGAAGCCAGAATTTGAAGCTTTTTGCATTTAATATTTAAAGGAACGTTGAGAATGACCAGGCTCCTTTTCCCCCAATTTTTTTATTAAGGATAATTTTTTTTTTTAACATATAACGAAATTATTACCTTTCTTCTCTCCTTCCCCAAAAAACCAAAACAAAAGCAGTTTCTACTTGAGCATTGTTCTGCAAAGTAGGCAGGGGTGTGATGTGTTGACTAGACTTGACGGGCTCTGAAATTGGTAGCCCATATATATGACTAATATAGATATCCTATTTTCCATATATATATATATATATAAGGGATATAGGATATCTCATATTAGTCACATAGAAAAGCAGTCAACAATGTCACATGCATTCTCAAAATTAAAGGCCAACCAAAATTGAATTGAATGCGCCCTCATATATATGTGTATGTATATAGATATATCACAAAAAAAAAAAAACCTGACAAACTCTCTGCAAATACGCCATGCACTCTTCTCTTTTTCTCTCTCGGTTTCAACAAATTGAATTATCGTTTCACAATCACATGCATGGACTGACATTGCCACTCATTATACCACATGCTCATGCAAACAGAAACAAAGCCTCCTTCCACTACCATATATATTCCTCTCATGAGCTTATAAGCTAGGCTCTATCTAGTATCCACAAACATAACTAAAGTTTGCCACAAAGTAAAAACACACACAATCCTAGCTAGCTATAATATTTATTGACATTGGATATCTATCTCGTACATATGTGTGTGTGTGTGTGTGTGAATTTATATAGAGGAATATGATGGCATTGATGATGATACGATGACGATACTAAAGCGAATGCCACCTTTTTTTTATGACTATATATATATATATGTATATATATGACTACTGTTGATGTTATTATAATGTATTTAGGGGTTTGGTTTTGATGATCAATTACATAGCGGCTCCAACCATTTAGTGGTGGGGGCGGAAGCAAGTGAAGCGCAAAAATCCCCACTTTCTTCAATGGGAACATGCACACATTGTAAAGCTATCATAATTTGGTCCCACTTTAGTACGCAATTGAATCAAAATCCAATGGACTCTAATGCATGAAAAACATCTCTCTCTCTCTCTCTCTCAATTTATTTCTCTCTCTATCCATCTCTCCAAACTCATGAGAGAGCATCCCATGCATGATTATTACGTATACATCAGACCATGATGCTTTCATATTTTTCCATTCCCATAATTCAAAAGGGAAGTGCATTTTTTTCTAGACATGCCGTTGGGATAAATTTTCTTAAGCCTTTTTACTGTATACCCTTTTGGGGTTCAGTCTAACTTTTCTTTTTTTCCTCTAGTGGTCGGTGGTCCTTCCAACGTTTTGTGCTACTATATCAATCCTCTTTATATAAATACATATATGTATATATATATATATATCTATAATTAATATGTTAATTTTGCCTCGTTATTAGTTAATTAGATAGAAATATTAGAGATGAGAATTAGAGAGGAAATGGATGGGGGTTGCCCCCACTTCAAAGAATCTTGAGAGTGAAATTTTGGTAGAAAGCTATCGCCATCAAAGGCCTTTGCTTTCATGCTTTTATTCCAAGCTTAAGTCATTCCATGCCCATGCACTGTCACAAGAGGCCACGCCTCTCTCTCACCTCAGCCTCTTACCCTTTTTATATATTTGTGTAAATATTAGAGCCACAATATATGACGGAGAGTTTTGAATTTCTCCATCCGGAATTTACTTTTTTCTTAGACAAATAAAGCTAAAACATGACACCGCCTAATTTGATTATATATATATATATATATATATATATATATATATACAATCAGCCAAGAGGAAGAAATTCTATACAGAGGAAACTATTATAAAACGAACGCAGAGCATTGACATAATAATGTCACAAAAGATTATTTGAGACATATATATGTTACATGTAAGTTTAAAGGGGTAAAATTGTCTCATCAGCTGAAGATATATATATATATGATCTCTTGGCATGACATATGTATATATATTTTGTCTACGGTTTGAGCTTTAGTGCTTATAGAACTCGTGATTGACCCTGTTTGAAAAGTCCATTTGTTTTTCGGAACAAAGGTATTTTGATGACCAGACAGACATATATATAGAGACCGTGTTTGATGGGCTGGAAAGAAAATTCTCAGCTTTTCAGGAAGGGGAGCTAGGCTGCCAAAAACAGCAACCATTTTTTCCAATTTTTAAATATCACTTGTTCTTAGGGTTTTAACTATAATAACTTTTAGCATGAATGGAAGTTGGAACATAAAAATGAGGATCACCAATAACAATGCCACATGTATGTACACATATGGTTTGTGTACCACAGAGAGTGAGATCACTATTTTACAAACTTTAAATATAATTTTTTTGGGTAAAAGTATTCTTAGGTTTTAAAATTTATATAACTTAGTATTCAAACATAAAATTTAATGTTCACTTGATTCACATGTTCAAACAAAAATTTTAAATAAATATTTAATTTTATTTATATTTTTGTGAGAAAAAAAATTATAACAAAAAGAAAAAAGTTTGAAACAAAGCTCTTTGGTTCAAAATTTAAAAACAAACAACAGACTTTTTACTTTTGTTTTTAATCAATAAAAAAAGAGTAAAAATTGTGGTTTTTTTTAAGTATTTGGAACGATATTAAAAAGAAAAAAACTTAATAGACCAAAATAATTTTAAATTTTTTTAATAAACAATAAAAATAACCTACCGAAACTTTTTTCTTTTGAATGAATAACTTACCGAACCTTTGATACAAGTTTCAAAATAAGAGTTTTCCTTTTTTTTTTTTTTTAAGAAATTATAAAATGTGGTCTAACTGAAATCTCTTCTGGATAATTAAATATCAGAACACTTTTAAAAACAACTTATAAACTCAAAAGGCCGAAAACAACTTATGAAAAGCTCTGTCAAACATGCCTTAATCCAACAAATTAAAGAACTACATATATTTATGCATATGGGTTTGGTACCATAAATGTGTGTGTATATATATATATATATATAGAGAGAGAGAGAGAGAGAGAGAGAGAGAGAAGATATAATTTGACAAATGAGAGAACCGTACAGTGTGTGCAGGAGGGTGGGAGGCACATGGCTTTTGCAAGGATCGAATGTCATATTAGAGAGGCAAAATTAAAGCCCACGTCGCTATGTTTCGATTCTTGGGTTGTGGGGAAACACCATCATGCATGCCAAAGTCTCCATTTATTTGTTTATAATTACCTCTTAATTATAACTCATGGCCTCTATTCCCGCCCCTAATTAATATATATATATATATCTATATATATATATATATATATATATATCTTATGCTCTTCTTGACAGATAATCTCATGATCATGTTCATGCCCGCCCACTTTCTCTCTTTTCTCAATTTCAGCCATTTCTTAATTAACTACTAGGCGTATACAAACATATATAACTTATAATTAACTACTTAAACTGATCATCTACACTAAACAATTAATGCATGCAGGCCCTTGTCATAAATTATATATTGTATCAATTAATTAAGTACTTCACTTACCAGACTGTTAATTAATTTATTAACTTAATTATTAATTAATCGTAATTTGTTTTTCATTAACTTGGACCACACCAACAAAACTTGTCGCCTCGGCATTTATATTCGTCCTTAATTCGTTGAGATGAAAACGGATTAATATAGACTTAGAAAAGGGAAATCTATGCATGTACAGTTGGTCTAGCTCTTTCTAAATTAAAGGTGTTGGGTTATTGTCAATTGTTTTGATTTGTCACTACTTCTAGTTCTAGATCGTATAAAAACATAACAAAAATGTGAAATAATTAAGCCAATAGGAAATGATTATCCAAAATATGGAAAATTCCATTAATGTTATATTGTTTGCTTGTAGTACGATATAAGTAGTTCTTGAGCCATCAAAATGAGATTCTGTTTTCACAATAATAACGCATTCTAAAGGGAAGTTCTTATTCTTAACGAGGAGGTATCCTATATATTAGCCTATAAAAGCCTAAAAAGGACCTTTTAGAAATATTCCAAAAAGAGAGAGCCTTTATTGTCATTTTGTCTTTTAACATATATATTATGCCCTAAAGTTGTACTAGCTAACCTAGCTCCGATTTTTTGGCCAATAGAAAAAAACAGGTGGAACATATATTTCGTCTTAGTAAAGTCAAAAAAATATTACACTTCAAACCTGCTTGATTAAGAGAATATTATTAATTAAATTTTAATATAACTGACTGACCACCACCTCTTTCTCTCTCTCTCTCTCTCTCATCCTTTGTTTTTACCCTTTCTCTCTCTTCCCCCCTAATTCCTTCTGCAACTACTATTTCATCTCCACAAGCATCCAAACAAAGAGAATTAATGGAAAGTGGGATTTGCAAGGTTTATTCTCATCATCCTGATCTGATCATGTTCTGTCTAGTATGAAAGCCTTATAATATCTGCAGTACTCGTAGTATATTTGCTGCTCGGCCGTTCATGGGTGTCTCTGAAATTCTCTTCTCGGCTTCCATTATTTTCATTAATACCATTTATATCCCAAAACAACATTATTTCTATGGCCTCTTTCCAAAACCCACAGAATAAAAACTACCTCCAGATTTCTCTCTCTTCAAATCCCATAAAAAGATTTATATCTTTCCATGGCCGCTCTTGTTGATCAGATCATCATAGAGGGCGGATATTATCATAGGGTCATACAAAACTGGCGGTTTCGGCTATGACCATGGTTCCTGCTCAAAACCTATCCAAACAAAATCATCTTCTTCAATATCACAAAGGTAGTACTAATATTGATATTACTTCTGCTTTATGTGATTATAATTATGGTAGAGGTAATATTGACGAGGTGTATACGACAGAGCGTTGTGGTGGTGAGAGTATTATGAGCAGAAAATCACAAGGGTATGAGTACTGTAGTACAGATCAATCTTCTTGCGTAGTAGGATCTGATATTTTAGTGATTGGTGATCATCATCTTCATCATCATCAATATCCAATATTAATGGCGGATGATCAAGATGAATCCAGAACTAACAGCCTTAACAACGACGCGCCTTCGAGTAACTCCAACAAGGAATTAGAAGGCGGTGCCGGTGCCGGTGCCGGTCCCGGTGCTGGTGCTGCTTGTGGTGGTCAAGATCAAGAGAGAGATCATCATCATGATCATCATGGTCATGATCATGATGATCGCGAAGGCTGGCTCCAATTGAGTATAGGCGGCCACACCGGAAATCTTAGGCAAGAAAACAAGATTCATCATCATCATCATCATCATCGTCATGATATTCAGGTACTAGAACCGATGTCGACGGCGAGAAGAGGAGGCGGGACGGGACTAAACACGATTGAGCTGGATCTGTTACCCGGCGGAGGAGGAGGAGGAATGAGGTCGACGGGTACGACGACGTTTGAAGGGCCTAGTATTAGTACTACTCATGAATATCAACATCAAAATGTAATCGGAGGGCTTAATATTGCTGGTAGAGGTTCATCAATGAGCAATTTTGGGAGTGGTACTAATTTTAGTACTCCATCGTTAATGTATTTCCAACAGTACTACCCCGGAAGTAGTAGTACCAGTACTTCGGACTTTCCTCAATATCACCAAGCCGATCATCAGGCCCTTAATAACTGGGCATTTAGGCCGTTAATTCCTCAGCAATATCAACAACAACAATATGCTTATGCTTCTTCTTCTTCTTCTTCTTCTTCTTCTTCTTCTACTTCTTCTTCATTATTGATGCCTCAGCTGGGATCCACCACCACTTCCTATTTAGCTCGACAATTTCAGCTCCAGCCTCCGGTGGTTGATGCCGCCCCTGCCTCCGCGGGGCCCACCGTAGATTTCAGAGTTGTTAATCCTCCTCGGAGACCCCATTCTGGCATTTGGTTCATGCTTCAAGCTTCACAAAATCAGTAAGTGCAACAATACTAAATACTAATTAACAGTGACTTTTGTGTGTGTGTGTGTGTGTGTGTGCATATTATTGTATAGAAGTACTTAAAGGATTTTATTTTCTCTTTATTATTATTATTTTTTTGCTAATAATAACTGGACTCGTATCTTAATGTAGAGCCAAGGAACCGATCTTGCCTCAAATATCCAAGAGCTTCCTCAGAATCAAGTAATCTTCTTCATTAGTACTTTTGCTAATCGCTATTTTTATTTGTTTTTGTGGACTTAATTTCTTTTTCTGATTACAATATTGACGTTTTTTCTTCCGTTCAAAAAACTCAGGGATGGAAGAATGACAGTTCGGTTGCTAATAAAGTATCTAGTCAATAAGCTGAGACTGGATAGCGAATCAGAGGTACGCATAACCAAAAACTTCAACTAATAATTTCTATTTCATATATAGTTATAGAAGTAGTAATATTATGATTAGTACCACATGAAGCAGCTAATATTGCGCTCTTATGATTCTTGTTCTTTTTGTTTTTCTTTTTAATTCTTTCGCGTCTGACTAATTGGTTAAGAATAACAATGACAAAACTAGGCTACGCAATTAGAAGAACCCAAAAAGAGAAAAAATCATCCTAGTGTTTTCATCACGTAATTTAGTTACATGAATATGGACATGATGGTTGGTGTTAGAAACATGAAAACAACATCAGAACTAAAATGGGACTTGCCCAGTACATCTATTTGTTTCTTCGGATAAAAACATATATTGGTGGTAAGTATATTTCTAGGTAGTCAGCTTTCTCTTCTTGTACTAGTACTATTAGACTTTTTTTTTCTTTTTTTTTTATCACAAAATTTTTGTTTTCCAATCGAGGAAATTATATAGCTCTTCCTAGTTATCAGCATCATGTTCAATTGGTCAGTCATATAAAGATTTTTTAAAAAAAATTATTTTTACTATTTATTATTTTTGTGGTGGGATTGTGTAAACAGTATAGATGGAGTCCAAAAATGGGGTACTAAACTACGAATAAAAACTACCTACCACACCTTTTTCCAAAAACCCATATCGATCAAAGAGAAATATTTAATAGTTAACTTACTGTTTCATACCACAAACATTAACCGTCGTTTTAATTGTCTTGTAATACCTGTATTATATATAAAGCAGGATAAAAGTGCTAGCACAAAACTAAACAAAATGTAGAAGCTAAACTAATCGCGAGTTACGTTTCTACAAAAGTGATTAACGTTCAAAAAAATATTAGAAACCGAAAGAAAGGAGCATAAGTACCAGCTCTAATTCTAAATAGAAGATTAAGGTAGTACTATCTGATCTCTCGGTGTTGGTGGTTTGTAATTAATATCTAAACCTAAGACTCGAAACCCTTTGCAATCCCTTTGAGAAACTCATGAATGAATCTTATATAATTAGGTTTATAGTAAAATTTACCTTTAAATTATTACTATGCTCTTGGGAATTATAGCTTATCTTTCTGATTTTTATTTCATGGAAATTAAAACACATATTCATTGAGGAACCTAGCTAATTAGATAATATTTTTCTGTTTTTTGTATGGAAAAAATTAGACAGAATCGCGTACACCTTGACTAGCTAGCTGCTTTTTTTTTTTTTTCCCTCGGTGAGTTTTGAATTATAAGATTAATAGTATAGGCACTGCATGTGGCGTTATAAGGACTATCTTTGATCCCCTAATAACAGGCTTAATTAATTAATTTTTGGCGACAACAAGCAAATATATTTCCCCTTTCATTCTCTCCTTTATTGAAGGGGAAGACGTCTATTAAGTTTTTTTCTTTCTTTGTCCTGAAAGCTAACTCCATGGAGTTTGTTTTCAGGAAAGTCTAAGACAAAATAGAGTTTGTTTCTAATTTACTTATTTGCTTATCAATTTAAGAATAGTTTGTGTGCATGTGTGTTTTTGTGTGTGCGTGTGTGTACATATACACACACACACACACACACACACATATATACATATACGCATATAGTCTCTCCTTTCTGAAAAAATAAGGGAAGCTACCACGTCATAATCATTTATTTTTCTCTTCTGTGTTTTCCCCTAAAGTTTGCATCATATAATTGGTGTGCATAGGTTTTCAGTTAAAAATTTTCAAATGAATTTACTAGGTTGCAATTAATAAATGTTTAAACTTATAAAATACCTAGTTTCACACTATACATTTAATTTTAGTTACGTAATGCTATTTGCTCAGCATGCTAAACCTCTTGATTCATGAAAACACTAGAATTTTCAGCCAAAAAAGTGAAGTAGTTATGAGAAAAAAAAAAGAGTTATAAACAATCTAAGAGATGGAGTGCCTCACTTAATTTGTAACACGAATAAATTTTCAGTATATAAAACTACCATCAGGATATATAAAGAGCGAAATAAAGAACAAGTCACTCATCCATGTCACGCGTTTGGTTGATTCCTAGCCCTTGATTTTATCTTCTTTCCTATCCCTTGTCAAGCACTGTATAATTTATAGTGAATCATTCTAAAAATTTATACCTAGTGTGCGTACATGTATACTTTTCGTAATAGATAGAATATATGATAACCCTAGTGTGAAATCATACGTTATAAACTTTGGTAGTTAAGTAATGATTCTGAAACTATATATGGGGGCATAAATAATTTGCGCACGAGAGGCACTAAGAAAAGTAACATAATTTTGCACCTTGGATGCATAATATTATCGCATTTCATATATCACTTTATACAATGCTTCATATACACTCTTCATCATGAAACATTAGTATATATGATCACTATATCTTCCTTAATAATTACACAGAAGCTTCATTTCATTATAGTACTTGTTCCTTTGGAAGCACACGAAACGTTATTAATGGGTGTAAAGGGACTCAAGTTACTCACTACTACGTACATTTAAGGTTTCTAGAATGTCTTAAGATCAGATTGTACTTTTCTTAGAATACAGCTGGAAGTTCAGAAATATGTTGTTGATCACGGAAATAATATTAGTTGATTTAAACTTCATGATATAGTTTCCTACTAGATTTTTCTTTTTCTTGACACATTGAAGCTACAACCGCTTTCGATTTTAACGAGAAGTTGCAAAAAATAAAAATAAAAAATAAAGGACAAAAGAAAAAAGTAGATAACAAATTTGAATATTAGCTGTATATTAGAGTGGCAATAAAATCGGAACTTTGGACATAATTATATATATGAGTGTTGTTAATGGGAAAGAAATTAGTTTAAGTTGATTAATTTTTTTAAGAAAAATCTAAAACAAATTAATTAAGTTAATGATTTATGGTAAAAGAAAAGGTTTTGGAAACTACGTTCGTCTTCTAAGAATTTGGACGTGCTCTATCTGGTATAAATATTAGGTAAAATAATTGAAGTCATATAGTTATCTTTTTTACCTAGACAAGCCAAGCTATTTAACTATAATTCGCACCTGAATTTGTTTGTTAGCCTTGAAATTAATTGGTTATTATAAAAATTAGAATGGTGCAGTTCTTACTTCAAAAAAAACATGAGATGTACAAAATTAGCTAGATGATATGATCGGTAGCCCTTTTTGTTTTTTGTTAAATTAAGTCTTTAGGGAGTTTTAGTACTAAGATTCAATTATATTGTCAAAGCCGGATTAATTAGATCCATGCACTGCTCTTTTTTAGCATTCTACAAAAACTTGGGAGGTAGTGGAGCTAACTATTAAATTTCTAGGTTAATAAACCAACAAAAAGACAAGGAAAAGGCTGCTAGCAATTATTGATAGAAAATGATAGCTAGAGACTACATGACAAACATTATAGGACGACAGAAATAATAAATTATTTATTTACGTAAAAAATATGTATGATCAAGCCTGTTTTTGCTTCCTGATCTTAAGCTAATATTGTGAATTAAAAGTTCTGCAATAACATCGTGTATTATTTATTATATTATAGTAAAAGATTCAAACATTCAAAACTGATTGGCTACATGACAAAACCACGTAGTGCTTGTTAAAATTGTCTAGATGCCATCCTGCTGACATGTACACGTTGTCCTTCCTTTCACCTACGAAACGACATTGTTCAAGAAACTTAGATTCTTGCTTCTTACGATGAGTTAACATTCTCTTTCATTCTGTATATATGCATGTGTATGTATAGATCTATGTATAATATAGGGCGAGAGAGAGAGAGATTGAATGTTGGCGTGTGAGTAGTACTTGGTATTTAGGTCAACCCACGACGTGATAAATACATATACATTTATATATATGTTATTAATCCAGATATTTCCTTGTGCTTTCATGCCATGGGATAAGGAGATAAAGACAGAATCATTTATCTTGATAATTCACTAACGAATAGATTTGTGCAATATTAACAACCGAAAAAAAACAATCTATTTAAGTATATGATGAAGTAGTCTTTCTACAAATCTATTTAGGATGCGTAGAACACTCAACAAATTATACTTTTTTCTACACACAAATTTGTCATTATACACCTTTGTAATAAAGTCAACCTTATGTGCCAACGAGTCGGCATAATTTTCTCGTTTCCTTAATATCCACCGCCCAATTATGTAAATCATAATTAGATTTTTAAATAAAACTTTTCTCTAGTACGACATTCCAATTTCCATGCCGTCCTATATATAATGCCGTCCCTCAACTTTCACACATGGCATGCAACTGCATACCTAATGATTAGGTTTATAAGTGGGTCTGAAAGGTGAGGTCCAACTGAAAAATTAATGTCTTTGATTTAGCGTAAATTTAGGAGACTCGTTCTTTTTTTTTTTTTTTTTTGTATGGATAATTTGGTTACAAATCAGAATATATATAAATATTGTTTTTGTTTTAGTAGTTTTGTTTCATGCCAACCACGCACCTATTATACACACAATTATTTATGATTAGATTTAGCATAATCTATTATAGCTAGAGGGGATTGTTTCTTTTTTTTTTTTTTACTTTTTTTTTTTGTGTGTGTTCATGGGCATGCACGGCATGATTAATATTAACAAGTCTGAAGCAATAATAATCAAGTGAGAAAAAAGATGTCCCTCCCTGGTGGAATGGTTTACATATTTGTTTGTTTCTTCTCCTTTTTTATTTAGTCATCATCAATGGCTTATTGACTTTAAGATGTAAAAACATTCTCAACTTTTGAGTTATCTTCAGCCTATTGCTATAGCTGTTGATACATATTGAAAAGAGGAATGAAGAAAAGGTTGATAATAACACATCGATAGAAATCATATCGTAGGGCCTCAAAGATCACACGTGGACCCGGTCGTTCTCAAAACCCATATTGCATGCGTTTCTTTCTTTCTTTCTTCTTCTTCTTCTTCTCCCATTTTCTTTCGTCACGCTTTCGCTTGTTTCAACTCAGCATTTGGACAGCTACCTATATTGTACTGTAGGCCCTTCTAATTTCTCTTCTTTATTTTTTTCCCTATATGATATGATGCATATATATATATATATTGTGCTTAAAATTACACATCAAAACCTTAAGTGGTGCACTTGAATGGAATTTTAAGGACCCCATCATCCCCTCAACAACCAACCACACAAAAAAGAAATGACTAAAAACAATGTATTAAATGAAATATATATATATATATATATATATGTGTGTGTGTGTGTGTGTGTGTTTTACGTTGCGGGAAAGCAATGCATGAGAGTTAACAATCTACAACAGAATCATTCCAAGTTGTCCAATAAATTAACAAAACAAAAAAATAATAATAAAAAAAATATATTCGAAAGACAGATAAGAGCCATACATATATTGAAAAGGAATTATAAACACAGACACACACACACATATATATATATATATATATATATGTGGTTGGTGAATGCTATGTATGCACCTTAAAATAATATAATGGATAGTCCTGATATGTCATTAGCTTATACGAAAAACGACACCTAAACAACTTCTAAGTTTTTCAGAGTTTTAATAAGTGTCTTATCTAGGATTTATTTAATCTCAAGCATTAACATATTAGGGGAATAGAAAAATTAGAGATTGTTGGTTGTGCTCACGGGAAGAATGTTGACCCTTCATGTTAGGGTTTTCAGAAGCAACGTGAAAGAGACGTGCATGAATAGATGATGAACAATGGAGTAATATGTATATATTTTAGGTCCTCCTGAAAAATTAAAAAAATAATAATAATTTAATAAAGATAGTTTCCACCTATTCGTCGCCCTGCTTTTTGGATCCATTACGTGTTATTTTATATATAGAGAGAGAATAATATCTTAATTATTTAGAGGATTTGGATTGTGATATCAGTTAATTTAATATTGTAGTGATAAAGTCTAAAGGGGTATGATTTTGGCTTACGAGCAAAGTCTGGGTGGGTCCTGTAATGATTAAACTCGGGCAGTTTGAGACCGTGGGATTAGCGGGCAGCTCATAAACGGTCTATTTATGTGGCTGACCGCTGACCGAAATATTTTTTTGGTCGTATTTTGGGAATGAGGAATCTCTTTGAGTATAGGGAAAAAGTATATATATTTTGTGAATGAGAGAGAGAGAGAGAGAGAGAGAGAGAGAGAGAGAGAGAGAGAGAGAGAGAGAGAGAGAGAGAGAGAGAGAGAGAGAGAGAGAGAGAGAGAGAGAGAGAGAGAGAGAGAGATATTGGACAAAATTATGGGTAAAGTAGACGTTACAAAGATTTATAATATGGGGCATATATTAGCATGGGAAAAACGTAAGCTTGTGATAGCCAGTGAGCAAAGCATGACTTCATCTCTACGTACATTATATATATATATATCATTCTTATTTGTTTTTTTTTTTTTTTTTTGGCAGAACCCATTTTTTGTACATTATATATATATATATCATTCTTATTTGTTTTTTTTTTTTTTTTTGGCAGAACCCATTTTTATTTGTTTCTTTAGTTTTTGGTGCTTTCGCATATAAATAGTTTCCCTTTTTTGTTTTTCCAACAAATATGCTCAAGTTTTTTGAAGTTGCTTTTTAGTGGAATTTACTTCTTTCATCTTTGTTTCTTGGCTAATATTGAAGTGGAAGACACTGTTATATACGTAATGATTGAGAATTATAAGCATTTTAGGTGGCAAAGAAAGGAGTTTATAGTTTTATAAGATATTTGAAATTTTCACTTGATTAATATCTAGTAATAAGCATATAATCGATCTCATAAAAGTTATGGAAAAATAAAATAAAATTGATGTAGTTTTGTTTCTCTAACAATTAATATTGCATTGCAACATCATGGCCCGGTATTATAGCAAGGACTCTTCGTGATCTTTTTTTAAAATATATATATATTATTTTTTTTACTTTTTGTTTCTAAGTTTGTTGTGTTGGCTTATTTTAAATAACATTGATTTATTTATTTTTGTGTGATTATGTATGGTGTGGACGTGGGAAATGAAGCAGATAGAGATAACATGTAGAGGGCAACAGCTTCTACCATACTTGACGTTGCAGCATGTGAGAGATAACATATGGGGTCCAACTTTGACTTTGCTTCCAGACTCCTCTTCCTCTACCACTGATCATGTCATGGTCTTGCACTACTCTAGGAGTGCTTAAAAAGTTATCCAATTTTTTCCCATTTTAAATCTTTTTATATTTATATTTATATTCTTAATATATATTAATCTGCCTCGCCCGCACATGTATTTTGTATCATTGGTTATAATTTATATAAACCCTTTTTCCCTTTTCTCAACATTCTTTCTTTCTTTTTCAATTTCTTTGACATTCTCTAATTGATGGAGAAAAGTAGTTGGGAGTACCCAATTATAACGAGTACTGTTGCATACTTCGGATTGTATTTCAAAACTATGTACATTCCGGCTTTATATTCGTCTTCTTCACTTAATGTTAACAAGAATGACCATATATATATATAATTTGTTGCAATACATGGTTTGAGCTACGGAATCATTTGTTGATAAGACCCTGCTTTTCTCGACAAGATATTTCTTATTAATTTTCAATGCCTTTCATCGTTTATGCTTTGTATCTAGTTAAAACTTCGATGGGCTTACCGAAGTCCAACCCTTGGTTGAACATTCAGGACGTGAGCCTTCAACAGCCGAGTCTAACTGAGCTTTAATGGATCAAGATTGAATTACAAGAGGCCCAAGTCAGATGCTCGGTACGTCCTTAGTGGCCCAATGAAAACATCAAAGCCCATCCAAACAGATGGGCTATACTTTCAGCCCATTACAATCCAACCGGTGGCTGCCTGGCTGGGGTATCTTCCATTGAAACGACCAGCCGTTTCTCTATTCGCCCACTAGAGACGACCTATTCTCTACTTTATGTCGTTTACGTTTTACTTTCTTTTTGTTGTCGTTTCGTCCCCTGATAGCGGTCGTCTCTCTCTTTCATGTTGTAATGGCTGAGAGCCTCCTTTTGTAATTCTCCGATTAATCAAATATCTAGAGAGCAGATTCACCTTGAACCTCTTATCAATCGGTCAGTTCTTGCCAGATTTGTGTTCTTTCTCTGGTTAATTTTGCAGCCTATTACATGACCATTAAGACTAAATAATGATTTGATTTTGTGTGTGTGTGTGTGTAATGATAAGGTTATACTAGTACTCTGCAAGCCAAACGTTACGTATCTTAAGGGGACTCATTTCCAAATTGCAAATTGAAGAATTAGAGAACTCACGACTTCAAATAATTATTATTCAAGCCAATCGTTATTATTTTTTTACCTTAATTAAATAATTAATTTACTTACCAAGCCCCTCAGCTTCAATTTTCATTCAAAAAATACTACCACCAGAAATTTATTTAGCCAATTAATATATGTAAGACTGATATTCTGTAGTGTAATATGTGGATCTTAGAATTGAAATGCAAATAAAAAGATCGGCAATGAAGGTTTTAGCAAGTTCTTTTAAGTTTAGATTGTCCTTCTCAATTCTTTTATATTCAGATACAAATAGAGATATAACGAGACTCATCAGGGTTTAAAAAAATGCATGATTTTGCGCGTGTGACAGCATAAAATTGGGCTGTGAAAAGAGGTGAATTCTTATTTCTTATACTCGGACACAAAAAACACACAACAAAGTAGAATAATTGTGGGCATATATATAAAACAGCATATTCTACTTTTGAATTAACACCAGGTTGAATTGGATGTGATCATCTCATGGCTCTCGAGCAGAGAACTGAACCATACTTTTATGTTTGTATATATATATATATACATATACATACATACATACATATATATATATATATATATATATATAAAGAGACCTCACCTGACGCCTGAAAGGCATTACATCGTCTAAGATTTCTCATAGTTTTTAGTATGAAATATGAACCCACCAAATATTTCTCAAAGGACATAAAATTCTAGAACAATCATATTCAGACCGATTAATATGAACATGAACTAATAAGTCAATGTCAAGAATGTGTAGGTGCAGCGAAAGACAGAATGATTTGACAGTTGGACCCACAGGTAATAGAGATATCTCAGACCTATTAATATGAACATATCCACCTAAATCATAGCTCAAACTTTCAAACTCTTTTATGTTTTCTTCGACGTAAAATTTTTTTTTGAGTGGTAAAAAAGACAAACTTTAAACTTGTTCGGTTATATTTTTAAGTTATGATGACTTAAATTGAATTTAAATTATAATTTAAGTTAAAGTTATAACTTAATTTGTATTTAAATATGCACATTTAAATTATAATTTGAATTGAAAATCTATTTAAATTTGTGTTTGAATGAGTAAAAACTTAAATTTATATTTAGATAGTATTTAATAAAACTCAATGGTGATAAAATTTTTTTAAAGGATATATTAGTGGAGTTTTATTCGTATCTTTGTTGTGAACGCATAGAAAAAAAATCATCTCAATCAGAATTAAAACGAAAAAATTATAACGTTTTTAAGAATAAAAAAAATACTGTTAATTAACTTGAATTTGAATTTAAAAATTTGAGTTGAAGGAGAAACTTAAACTAAAATTTTAATCATAAACTCAAGTTCAAATTCAAATTTTACAAACGAATATAAACTTAAAAAAAAATTATAACTTAAATTCAAATTTTTTTTTTTGAGTTTTACTCTAAAATAAAAAGCTCCGAGCAAAGTTAGTCGCGCCTATTAAATAAATGCCACGGAACACCACACACACACACAATCAAACTAATGAACAGTTTATTTATCAAAAATCAGAAGTTAAAATTGTAGATGTCAAAAAGGCCTAGTTAAGGCAATTGCAGAGGAATGAGAAACAAGTTTAATTAGGCCAGAGTTCTTAAAGAGCAAGGAAGATAAGAAGTTTTGTAACGGTATCTAAATCGCACACAAATGAAGATTTTTTTTTCCCTGAAATTTGTATGGAATAAGCAAAGTTTGCAGACAAGACAGGAATATAACATTAACAAGTAAATGCTTGCTTCCATGGGAAAGAACTTAAAGTCACCAGTTTTCTTTGTCGTCTTATTCTCATCTTTCCAAACCTACAAACCAATTGTCACCTACCAATACGGATAACAGTAACACCACAATTTGGGAAATAAAAAGAGTAACCACCAAAACTAACAAACAAACAGTTTTATTAGTGTATCAACAAAGCTTTGGAGTAAAATCTGATTAGTATTATTATTTTTTATTGTAAGAGAAAAAAAAAAAAAAAAAAAACATCTCAGACCAGCATTTTCACTTGACATTTCTGCCAATGCCGAGGATTTATACTTTTATATCATTGACATGATGATGATGATGATCAAGATTACACCACATTTGAGACCCACAAGTACTACTACAAAAAGAAAAAAAAAAAGGAAAAAAGAAAAGGGAAATAGAAATGAAAAACTACTCACGAGAAACCCTTGCGAAGCTTCTGGATAGCATTGTACATTTTTCGGCGTGACCCGACGGCGTTAATCCCCATATCTTTGAGATCCTCAAGAGTCAACAATGGCAAAACGTCGTCGTCCACTTCGTGAATCTCGAACACCGGCGCGTACCGGCTCAGCCCCAATTCTATCAGCCACGTCCTCACGCCGTCGCCGCCGCCTCCGTCGTTCCACAAACCAAACGCCCCATTCTCCAACGACTGTATTGGACTGTTCTCCTTCATCGGACTCTCCGAATCGGCCTGATTATTATCCGTATCCCGAAACCCATCGTCCTCACTGTCACCATCGGCGGCTTTCGAGCTCGAGACCCAGCTCGATCGGGCTCTCTTCGTCGTCGGCCGCTTGGCCTTCGCGGGCCTCCGGGCGCCGCCGAGCTCGAAATTGGCGGCGTCGCCGCCGTTCTGATCGGGAATTAGGGTTTCGTGGGAATAATCGGTGGTGTTGGTGTTGCCGTTGCCGTTGACGAGGTTGGTTAAAGAACGAGCCTTTACAGCTGCCGTGGCGGCGGCGGCCTTGGAGAAGGAGTTGTTGTCCTTGGGGAATTTGTACTTGGGTCGGCGGAGGTGTTGGGAATCTTGAGTGGCGGCGGGTTGGTCGCCGATCTCGCCCAAGCGGACGCTGGGGCGACGCTGGCGTTTGGGGGCCAAAGGCGGGCCTGCTGGATGGTTCTCTGAGGACGACGGCGGCGCCGTTGTGGCGGTTGCTATGGCGGTTGGCGGTGGTGGAGGCTGTGGCGATGGGATAGTAGTGATGGCGGGTTGGAGTAAATCGTCAGCCATAAGACAAGGGGGTACACAGTCACACGCACAGTGTGCGCAGGATAAGGATTAAGGATGGTGTGGGGTTGTGTTGTTCGATGGACGGATCTCCTGCTTCTAACCTCATCAGTCTCATCAATCATCTAATTGCTGTACCGTCTTCGCCGTTCGATTAGCTTATTTTAAAGTAGAAAAATAAAAATTATAATCTATATTCATCGGCACTAATATTTTTTTTTTTTCCCTTTCTTTCCCATGAACTCACAATTGGTTTTTTTCTCTCTCTCTGTTTTTTTTTTTTTTCCAAAATACTAATGATTGGTGTAGTTCCATAAATGGAATGAAAAGGATTTGATCTAAACCCACATCGAAATCCCGGGGCCCACTAATAATGAAAATACTTGCTCCAACTCTATTTGAAAAATAAGCCCAATTTAACTTCACATCGAGATCTCAGGGCCCACTAATAATGAAAAGACTTAACCCAGCTCTATTTGAAAAATGAGCCCAATTTCACTCCACTCCCCTGAATTCTGGAGCCTATTAATCAAATAGGATATTTGATTTAGATTACCAAATATCGAATCCAGGTACACCCTGAAAGAAGAAAAAAGACATCTTTGTCACTGCACCACCACCCTAACTCATGTAGACTTGATTTCCTACGGTCAAATAATTAATTTTAAGGTTAATTTCATGATTTATTTCAAGCAATGGCATTGTGATAGCATGACGATAATAGCAATTTCTACTAATGATATTAAACGGAATAAATGAAATAAATGCAGAGTAAAGTAAATATCAAACCGAAGATTTAGAGTGGTTCATTCATTTAAAGAGCTGCGTTTACAAGTTTTATGTGAATTATCTCGTTTACAAGATGATTTGTGTGAAGAAATGGAAATCGCAACCCTTTGTTTAGAAGGGGTCTAGCCTATTAATAAAGTTCTCTTAGCCTAAACCATGTGGGAACATCTTGTTTTCACGTTATTAACTCTGGTTTAGAATTATAGTTCTTAATTTTACTTCAGTATTTTTTTTTTCACAAAAAATTTAAATTTTAAAAATTAAAATAATGAATTATGATTTTAAACTCATGAACCAAATGTCAATATTGCTTTGGTAGAAGAGTGGGATTGAGATAGTATACAAGATCAATCCACGTGTCCTTCTTTTCGTGGGATGATTGTTGTGCTTCAACTAGATTGTGGATTGAATCTTTGGGCTTCAAAGATGTGGTCATCAACCATAACTAACTGTAGCTTGTCTCGATTAATCTAACGACGGATCATTATCTCAGTTGATTCGTCCGACCAATCAATCGATCAACAAGCCTTCTGCGAGATCTCGGGTGTTCACTCCTTTCAAGTGTCGCTTAACTTGGTTTGATGGTCGCCTTGAAAATGTCAACTGGACAATCAAAGATTCCTTAGACGAATCTGACTCCAACACTCACCTCATCATATATATGAATTGTTGAGTCTATGTAACGTCAATAAATCTCAGAGTTAATACGTGCTTTAGGTAATTGGTTTTTAAATAAACAAATAAAGAGAACTAGGTGATAAAGTAAAACGAAAGACTGATTGATACTTTGCAGTTTTAAACTACTAAAATTAAAATAACCTTAGGCAAAACAGAAAAAAAAAAAAAAAAAAAGTAGAGGTTTATAAAAATTGACGGTGGATAAGTGTGCAGAATAATACACTATTAAGTTAGAAAACGAAGGGATCTGATGTTGGATTGGCTTCAAAACTATTTTTAATTTTTTTTTTTCCCAAAAAGCTTCTAATTGATATATGTTTTTATTGTCAAATAATATAAGTTATATTGACATAAATAAGCGGGGTTTTTAGCACATTTATCCCTTAATCTTGTCGTGGTTTAATAAATTACCCCCTAAACTTTATAATTTTGGTAAGTTGCCCTTTCAACTTGTAAATTTGTTACAATATGTCCCATTTTAATGATGATTTTGTTAAACTAGTGTCAAAAAAGTACGTTCAGCCAAAATTTCAGCATTCTAATTCAAATGTAATACAATTCTTTCACTATATCAACTTTTAATCTCTTAAATCTAATAAAAAATTTGTGCAAATTTAGTTAAATGGGGCACATTGTAATAAATTTATAAATTCGGAAGGTAACTTATCAAAATTAAAAATTTAAAGGACAATTTACTAAAACATGACAAGTTTGGGAGTAATTGGGGCAAAACCCCTAAATAAAAATAAGTTAAATAAATAACTGCTTTGGAATGTTACGGGCCTAATAAATTATAACTGGAACACGTTTGTTAGGCTTCATCCGGTGATCTCTCGTCCATTATTAGGCTTCTAATAACATTCAGGAATGCTTTATTATGACTAAGAGATACAATGCTTGCCCTCCGATTGGAAGCCTTCAAAATTCTAACTCCACATAGGAACGGTCAAAGATCACAAAAATATGTCTTGACAAAACTACACTAACCAGTCGCTGGTGCCAGACGTAAGTTAGAGAAATTCACTAGATTACCAATAGTTATATACTTGATTATGTCACTATAATCAACTTTGACCATTGGCTGGTTACCAAAATAATCTACTACATTAGCACAGGTAATCCATCATATGATATTGCATTTCGTCCTAACAAATCGTTAATCGTCTCCAGCGGAAGATGCTAGTTGTCCAAATAATATGGTAGATTACCTCCAGAAAAAGTACTAAAATCAACACGAACAGACAGGAATAGCTGAAGATGACAAATCAAACATATATGCTAGAGAGGAGGGAACTCGATATTTTATGAATTTGTGATACGATGCCGCTAGAAGAAAATCTTATCTCTAGAGTAGTTGTTATTGTATTCTTTATTTTTCTCTGTTTGATATTTGAATTAGTATGTTTAATCTTTGAATTAGCTGTAGACGTGTGAACGTGTCTATTTTTAGTTATTGTTTCCTACGTTTATGCATGTAAACGTTAAGCAAGTCATTATATAAGACTTGGCTGATTCTAAATAAAGGGCATCGACCAATTATTTGACTCTTTGAGTTATTTGGGAGGCATTGGTTCCTCATATAAGCCGATAAACTTTCACTTTTTTTTTTTTTTTTTTTTTTTTTTTTTTTTTTTTTCTTTTTTTTTTTTTTTCTTTTTTTTTTTTTTTTTTTTTTTTTTTTTTGCTTAGTTGCTGTACGTAACAATTTGTATATTATAATATATACCAATTCCTTTTTGTGGACATGGTGTCGATTATTTTGGTTGTAACTTAATTGTAACTTGTATAATGTGCTAGTTTACACATTAATGTGTGAATAGTGTGTGATAAAAGAATGCATGAGCAATATCTTTGGTGAATGGTCAGTACTCACAAGTTTGTCACTAAAAGTACCATCTACTAAATTTCTTACAAAATTAAAACAAATTTTTTAAGTTTCAAATCTGAATGAGTGGAAGTTAAACAATTTCAAATTTTCATAATCCTTTCTTTCCTTAAAAATATCGTAATCAGTAATTGAACCTATAAAAGACAAAAGTTGCCAAATTATTCCCTGCAGGTCATTGCTTGAAACAGTATCAACTTTCAAAAGACATAGTTATAACGTACGTTACTTTGGTATCATTATAGCAAAGTTGTAAAGGATTTTACAAATCCACTTTCAGCTAATTAACATTAATTAGAGTACTCCTTACAGTATCCTCCAGTTGAATTGTTTAAATCAAGCAACTCATTTTAAATCATCAACTTAATTTATAATATTTTATTATCAAATATATAGCAGCTAGTAGTAATTTGGCACTTATATATCATGAGCTTCAGGCATATATAGGAGAAGAGAGACGAGTAGTAGCTAATAGGAGAAGATCTGCATAGATATTGCAAACCCTAGGTATTACAAGATACAAGCAGTAAAGGGCCGGTGGTTTTGTAAGTATTTTAGCTATATATAGAGGGTGAAAAGAAAGTTGAAAACCACTACACTACGTCTCTGGGGGTCTCTGCAAAACCAGAATCCGCCATATAATAAGAGGAGATATATAGCTCTAGAAATTTGTGCGTGTCGGAGTCATATAAAGTCTAGCAACACTTGTAATCTTCAACTCCCGTTTCCATCTGTCCATTTTCCCTCATCACCCCACAATCCTCCATTCACACACACACACACACACACACACACATATTTATATATTTGAATCAAAATATATCTCAAAAAGAATAGTTAAAATTTTGATCAAACCGGCCTTATTTATTCCGAAAAAGCAAAAAAGCAAACCCAACGAAAAACGACAATGCCGGAAATCAATGCCCGGTTGGGTCTTAAGGGATGAGGCTTGAGGGAGATTCCATGTCCCCCATGTGATATCACTAATATATATGTATATGTGTGTGTGTGTGTGTGTGTGTATATATATGTATGTATATGTATATAGATATCTCGATTCTGCCCCTGGGGTTTGGCGAGTGCCGAGCGTCAGTCATTGAGGCATCTTCCCGTACACTAAGCTCATGACTCCCAGAACCAGACAAAAACCCTAACACCTGATTCCCTCTTCTTCTTCTTCAAAAGAGAGAGAGGTTTCTGCGTGTTCCTCACCAGTTCTTCTGTTTTTCTTGTCGATTAAGCTTGCTTTCTTCTTCTTCTTCTTCTTTTTTTTTTTTTTTTTTTTTTTTTTTTTTTTTTTTTTTTTTTTTGCGTCAATGGCCAATCAAGAAGTTATTGATTGGGAGATGTTAATGAGTACTGAAGAGGCAGTACTTTCTGATCATATTATTTCTGCGCCCCTAGGAGTAGGAGTAGACGTGCAGGTGCAGGAGAATATCGTTATTAATAATAATAATCATGATTATGATTATTTAATTAATCTTGATGATGATGAAGATCGGGTAGTAGCTGTTGATCTGGACCGTCCATCGGAGGAGATCAATAATGGAACATTAATACCAAGTAGGGTCGGACGCGGTAGGAGCTACTCGAGAAATGCACGAGTGAAGTCTAATTTGGTGTGTCAACCTCGTACCCCGCGTGTGCCTATTGTCGCCCCTCCTTCACCTCCTCCCAGAGTAAGCATTTCTTATTTCTGTTTCTCTTCTTTTTTTTTTTTCTTTTTCTTTTTTGGTGAGTTAATTATCTAGCCCTATGTGTTTCAGGTAAATATATACATTATATATTTGCAGTTGTTTATAATTAGTTAATGTATTTTGTTTAATTTGATAGCATGTACAAGTGTATTCTATTGCAGGATTATATGTCTGCA